GGGGGCCGGGGGCATGCTAAGTTGCTAGGAGTTGTGCCTGGGGGATGGGCTGATGGGGGTGCATTGGGAACTGACAGTGCCCTGGGGGGCTCCCAGACAGGGCTTGTGGGGTCTGAGCAGCGGGCGGGTCCCTGGGTCCCCCCCACACTTCCGCTCCTATAGGGGGTGTGACGGTGGTGCTACACTCCAGTGCCCCATCCTAGAGCTAGCTGCATCTCAGCAGCCCACACCTGGCTAGCCGCGCAATGCGGGGGGAACAGGAGAGAACCCCCCTGCAGATGAGCCAGGGAGCTGGCTGGGCCCCGTGGCTGGGGCTGACAAGTGTGTGTGGGCCCCTTTCATAATCGCCGCGAGTGGTTTATGTAATCCGGGCTTTGAAAGGGGCAGGTTCGCCTCGGCGGCGACTGAGTCATTGTGTTATTCCCCCCGCCGCTCCCTCGGCTGGCGGGCCCAGAGCCCCGGGAGAGCGACATGTCGGGGAGGCTCCCGGCGCGTTTGGGCCGTGAACTCTTTGTGCCTTTCCCCGGTCCTGCTGCTGCAGCCTTGCTCTGTGCGTGAGCTGTTCTCTTTGTGTGTGTGTGTGTGCGCGTCAAGGGTAGTGACGCAGGAGCGCACAATGGCAAAGCTGAGCCGGGGCCCCAGGAGTCCTGGCTCTTCCCCTCCCCCCGTTGTAACCCACTAGACCCCACTCCCCTTCCAGAGCCAGGGATAAAACCCAAGAGTCCTGGTTCCCAGCCCCTGTGCTCTAACACTAGCCCCCACTCCCATCCTAGAGCTGGGGAGAGAACCCAGGAGTCCGGGCTCCCATCCCTCCAGCTCTAACACTAGCCCCCACTCCCATCCTAGAGCTGGGGAGAGAACCCAGGAGTCCTGGCTCCCAGCCCCCCAGCTCTAACCACTAGCCCCCACTCCTGTCCTAGAGCTGGGGAGAGAACCCAGGAGTCCTGGCTCCCAGCCCCCCAGCTCTAACCACTAGCCCCCACTCCTGTCCTAGAGCTGGCGAGAGAACCCAGGAGTCCTGGCTTGCAGCCTTTCGGGGTAACTAGGCTCCCTGGGGACCCGGAGGAGCCGGGCTCGCGTTCCTTGCCATGGCTGTGCTCCTTGCCAGTTACTGGGCCTGGTAAATACCCCCTCTCTTTTTGGGAAATCTCCGAGCTTGGTACTGAAAAGAGTCTCCGTCCCGATCCCTCCTGGGCCCAAAGAGGAGGAGCCCCGTCTGCCAGCCGGGAGCCCTGGATTTTCCAGTTCCCTCTGACCTTTGTGTGGCGGGGGGAATAGTACACACCGGGCGGGGGACGGATGGCTAAAAAAGCCACTTAGCCGATGATGGGCTGCTGGCATACGGATTACGGCTGAGAACATCCATGCCCTGGGCCGTCAAGAGGATCAAGGGTTCTTCCTGGGAGCCTTACCGCTTGCCAGGCCGACTTAAACGCCATCGGTTCCGTTCCTAAAACAGGCGCCTCCTAAATTCCTGCTTTTGTCCGGCTCGGGATGACCAGGAGAGAGCCCCATCGTGTGGTGCTAGCCCCCCAGTTTGCACGAAGCCAGCAAAATTCTGCCCCGTGTTTGGGGACGCCGAATCTCCTGCGTGTGCCGGGAAATGGAGGACCGTTCGCGCCGGGCCGGCTAAAAGCACGCTGGCGAGCTTTCTGTGTGTCACGGGTTGTTTTGGAAAGAGCCAGCGTGCCGGGGTTACTGTAAATGTTGCAAGCCTGCCCTAGCCCTGGCATGTGTCAGCCCGTGAGATTGCCATAATAAAACATACAGTAGGGCAGAGGTTATTGGAGCGCTCGGTATTTGTTGGCACACATGGGTGTGTGAGCGGGGCGGGGGGCGGGGTGCCTGTGCTGTGTTTTGCCACGTGCAGGGCTCCTTGGACTGCTTCCAGCTCCACTGCTGTCCGTTTAATTTTTTTTTTCTTTTTTTAATAATGGAGATATCCCATCTCCTAGAACTGGAAGGGACCTTGAAAGGTCATCAAGTCCAGCCCCCTGCTTTCACTAGCAGGACCAAGTACTGATTTTGCCCCAGATTCCCAAGTGGCCCCCTCAAGGATTGAACTCACAACCCTGGGTTTAGCAGGCCAATGCTCAAACCACTGAGCTATCCCTCCCCCCTGCAGTCCCACCGACGTACCCACAGCTCGTCCCCCGGAGATGAGTCCTGGTTCTTTGGGCTGCTGTCGGTTTGAGGCCCGACGGCAGGGCTGGTGCCGGAGTGGGTTTTGGGGGAGGGTGGGAGGGAAAGAAGGGGTGATGCCTGGGGCACGTCTGCACTGCGGCTTGGAGCATGCTAAGACCAGCCGTATACAACGGATGGGCAAGAAACACACCCAGACATACTCTTGCCCCCCCCCCTTCCACTGCTGTTTTCAGCGAGCTAGCGCATGTCTGTCTACTGGAAGTGGGGGATCCCTGATTCTGGGAGGGGAGCAGGGGTTAGGGGTTAGAGCAGGGGGGGCTGGGAGCCAGGACTCCTGAGTTCTCTCCCCAGCTCTGGGAGCAGCCAAGGAATAAATTAGCATGTGAGAGCAGAGGAGGGAGTCGCTGGCTCCGACCAGCCTGTGGTTAAGCCGAGAGAACGCAGTGTTCCCGGCGCTCTGCCTTGGTTTATTTCCACACGGCAAACTTGGCCTGGGGCGGGCGACTGGGCAGAGCTTGGGCGCTTTTATGCCTGCCCCACATCCTCCACCCCCCTGGGACAGGCCAATGGCGGGTGCATTGCTCTGGTGACGCCGCCGCGGCTCCTGGAAAGCCCCCCGGGGGGCTGGCGTGTTGTGTAAGGAGCTGCCAGGCGGGTACCTGGCTGGGAAAAATTACATAAGGGTCCCTGTGAATGGAGTCACCGCAGGCCGGAGCGGGTGACCTGGTTATATCAGGAATCTGGCTCAGGGGGGCTCCGGTTACAGCTGACCAGGTGCAGGAGATGCATTGGAGCCAGGACTCCTGGGTTCTCTCTTTGGCTTTGGGAGGGGAGTGGGGGCTGGTGGTTAGAGCAGGTGGGGGCAGGGAGCCAGGACTCCTGGGTTCTCTCCCTGGCTCTGGGAAGGGGGTGGGGGCTGGTGTTTAGAGCAGGGTGGGCTGGGAGCCAGGACGCCTGGGTTCTCTCCCCAGCTCTGTGAGGGAAGCAGTGAACTGCTCAGAGCATTCATTCCCTTCCGGCTCTGTCATCCCCTCGCCCCCCGTGTAATTAACCCCCAGCAGGAACACTGCGCTTCTGCTGAGTGGGCTGGGTCAGGGGGCCCGCCGCTCTCCAGAGCCCTGCATCAAAGGGCCGGCGGGGGTGGCGGGAGAATGGCCCTGCAGATGAGCGGGGCGTCTCCAGACGGTGGGAAACAATGTAGCCGGCGGAGAGGGGGGCTCGCTGAGCGGCTTGGCGGGGAGAAGAGGGGGCTAGATGGTGTCCTCTCCCGACCTGCGGGCGCCTCTCGCGGCGGCTGAGTGGAGGGGAGCGCGGGTGTGAATCCAGCAGGGCTCCGGTTTTCATGCTGAGGACTGAGGTGGGGGACCCGGGCCTCCCATCGGTAGCAAAACGGGCTCCCGGGAGCGCCAGGCCTTTGGCCTTAGAGCCGTCTGCAAGGGAAACAGGGTGGCTGCGCTCCTTTTCCATGGTGCAATGGGAAACTGAGGCAGGAGATGGTAGCAGAACAGTGCCCCCCCCCCCCCCAGCTCAGGTTTGCAGGGGGTAGGGATAGCTCAGTGGTTTGAGCATTGGCCTGCTAAACCCAGGGTTGTGAGTTCAATCCTTGAGGGGGCCATTTAGGGAACTGGGGTAAACATCTGTCTGGGGATTGGTCCTGTTTTGAGCAAGGGTTTGGGCTAAATACCTCCTGAGGTCCCTTCCCCTGAGGTCCCCTCCAACCCTGATATTCTGTGATTCTAGTGTGTCTTGGGGAAGCCAGCCCCTGCCCCGCAGTGCATGCAGTTAGAGAACAGGACGTGGCGAGATCGGGGTCCAGGGAGGCTGCAACAAGAGCCTGCCCAGGGGGGTCTCAGATCTGTGCCACCAGTCCATGCCTCAGTTTCCCCAGTTATAAAATGGGGGTGATCGCCCCGCCCTGCCTCCCCCGGGGGTTGCCAGGATAAATGCCTGAAAGCCCGAGCGGCGCTCGTGTACTGTGGGGACCATACAAGTGCTCGGGCCAAACGCGGCTCGCTGGGCTGAGATCCTCTCCGTTTCTGGCCCTGGCGGGGCTTGGCTTTGCAGACGCTGGGCTGTCGTCGGGGTGTCGGGAGCAGAGGGTTTGCTCTGGGGCGCCCACTGAGTGCTCCTCTTTCCTCGTCTTTGCCAACAACGCAAATATTTATCAGCAAGCTGCGTCGGAGGGGACGCGATCGCGGCTGCCTTATCAGCCGGCGTGGGCCAGAGTCAATATTTTCACCCCCTCTGTGCCTCCGTGCTCAGGCAGTGTGTTCCCTGCACCTCTTGTTCGTGGATCTCTTATCTGCCAAAGAAAATAATATTTACCAATGCCGGCATTCCTGCCCGCTGCTTACTACTTAATGTCTTTCCCACCTTCCTGGGGCCATCTGTGACTCTTTGGTCCTGGCGGTCTGGATTTGGCCTGCCATCCACCTGTTGACTACCCCAGATGCGTTTGGAGCTGTACAAACCCCCAACTAGTTGGGTCCTGCCCCACCAGGTCCCCTTCCTTATTATGAGCTGCTGACCGTGAGCCATTCGATCGGGCATCTCTGGAATGGGTTTTTTTCCCCCCAAGGTCTGGGTGGTGGATCCAAGGTAAGGAAATTGGGTGACACGGTTAGAAAGGATCCGGATGAAATTTTTGGATTAAATTGTAGGTCTCCCCGCTCAGCCCCCCGGTTTGTAAAAATTTTCCAAATTTCTCACATGGGAAAATGTGGGAAATCTCAAATTCTCCTGGGCTGGGAAACCTCCCAAATCTGCCTCGTTACCAGCCCTGTAGGGCCTTACAACAAAAATCCTGGCACGTCCTGCTTGGCTGTTTTCCCCTGATTCGGTTTTTTTTTTGGTGCCCTGCCAGCAGCTGGCATGAGGTTTGTTGATGCTTTTGCTGGTTGATTATGCAGGCAGACCTGGTTCCCATTGGTCGGCCCGCTCGGCCAATGAGAGCCGCCCCGGAACCTGGGGTGGCAGCACTACGGTCCACGTGCGGGACTGTGTAACACGGCGCTGACATCACCCGGCGGTCGGCCAATGGCGAGGCCGCCGGGCGTTACACAATTGGGGGCAGCGGCTCTGCCGGAGCCACCGGGCGCGGGTGGCATTTGGGGGGCGCCCGGCTGCAGAGGATGCACCTGGAGCCCTGGGCAGCCAAGAGAAGCCGGCCGGCCGTGGCGGGGTTTGCAGCACCGAAGAGAGGCAGAACCCCAGAGACGTGCAGTGCCGCTGTCACTGTGAGTGTGAAAGTCGTTGATTTGACTCCCCAGCTTTCAGTGCGTTTGCCCCCCTTGACGGCTGTGGGCGCTCCCCTGTTCTCGCCGCCTTCCCTCCCCCTGCACAGCCTTTCGGATCTAGGGCTGTGGGCTCCGCCCCAGAGCTCAGCTGGTGCTGACACACAGGGATCCGTCCTGCCAGCACAAAATGTTCTCTGTGCAATTCCAACTGTCCCGCTTTGCCAAGGCAGGGCGTGTCAGCCGACGGTTTCCCTGCCCTTGGTCTTTGTCACTGCCATGCTAATTAGCCCTGGAAAGCTATATTCTTCTTTTGTAGGGCGAGGTTTTGCAACGCCACCAGGGCAGGGGGTGGGAAGCCAGCGCGGGAGATGCGTGCGCCTGCTTTGGCGAGACGGGCGGCTGGTTTGTCCGGTGCGCTTGTAGCAAATGTGTCATAAACACCGGGGGGAAAAGGATGCGAGAGTTGTAACTTGCGGGGGGGGGGAGATTGAAATAACCGTCTTGGGATG